TATTGGCTCAGACATGTTCTGAGACGTTTTCGCAGATTAATACATGACCAAGGAAGAAAGCTGAAAATGTTTGTGACCTAACCTCAGTAGAGCCAGAACAGGCAGAGGCCTACGGGATGGGGCCAGGAGGTTTGAATCCAGTTCTACCAAATACTTCCTCTGGGCAGCTCATGTAATCCTATTGTGCTCTTTTCCCATCTGTTAGGCTGAAATGATGCTGACCCTTTTTCATGCAGTTGCTCTGAAGTTTGGCTGGCTGCATTTTTGTGTTGTGTGCGTGCATGTGCATGTGTTCACAACGTTAGGGCTTCGATATAAGGATAGAACAGGGTTCAAACAACTTGATTTGAATTTATATACACACCCCCAAATGATCTATAGAAATTTTGAGTCTTAAACCCAATTCTGTGCGTGTGTGAGAGAGAGAGAGGGAGTGTGAGTATGTATACGTAAAAATTAAAAGTAGGCTCTTTGAACCCTACTTTTTATGTTTATAGCCAAGAACTCAAGCTGATCCAATTCCCACCAGAGCCCTGGGGAGACTCCCATTTGACTTCCATGCCGAGCCTAATCTTGATCTCGCATTGGCATTTACCCACTGTTACTTTACTGAACAACTTAAACTAGATCCAGAGCCAGCTCACTGATTGCTCTGCGAGTGCTTTATAAAAATGTCCCAAAAGATCCAGCTGCAAACATTACGGCATGCCTGCGCGCACACGTTTAATTGCAAATCATCTTTATGGTGAGCAGCTCAATATCTATTCCATGCTACGGTCAGATAAGGATTGAGTCTTAATGAAGAGGCATACTGCTGTATCCATCAATCAAGGAGAGCACATTTCTGCATACTTGCTAAAATGAAAGCTACATGTAGCTTTCATTTTAGGGATCAGATGCACGTTCTCACCCTAGACTCGACCCGATATTCCAGTAGAATTCGACTCTTTACTGTAGCATAGCACATTGGACCATAGTTTTATCAACCGGTGTGCATTTCACAGCCAGTTTTCTGTTCCCCACTGGTACCTTTAGGCAACCTATGAAGGGTTAAGCTCTTCCAGTGAAAAAGGCAACAACACAGCAAGTAAAATGAAGCTATCCCTGTCTGGGTCACCCATGCATGGCAAAGCTGTCTGCTTTCCCATTACGCGCTCTGGCCAGCTTGAGTGTAACATCCTTGGGAACCTTGTCCATCGATCCGTTTGTTTACTCCGGCATGGCTCCGCATTGTGCTGCTGCAGCATCGAGAGAAAAGACTGTGCAGTTGATGCAGGTCGTACGAGAGAGAGCGGCTGTTCTACCTGATGCTAGTCCTTAATCCTCATGGGCTCAGCAACGCCTGGCAGGCTTTGCAATCTCTAGCACACCAAGCTGTAAAATTGGAATCGTCCTCTTGGCAGGAAAATGATCTTTCCTAGTCTAAGTGCGTGTGTGTATGTGTGTGTGTATGTGCGCGTGCGCCTGCATGCTTACTGGGGCTGGCAGTGCTGCTTGTTACTAAGGTTGTCTGATACTTGCTGCCAGCAAACTTAACTCTGGCATTTCGTGCCTTTTGAGTGCTTGACTTTGCAACCTTAATAATGTGGTTTTAACATAGTCTTTTGCTTGCAAGAAACATATAATAGTTGTGAGAAGTTCCGTCCATGTTTCAGCACCACAGCAGGTTTTTGTCCTTTAACTGGGGTTCTGGATGTTGTTCTAAGGAGGTTGCCGTTCTCATTTCAGACTTATGTGGATAGAGAAAAAGTTCTGTTTGTTTGCCCAAGTGATAGTAGATTTGGGCAGAGGGGGTGTGGAGGGTAGGTGAGTGCTCGCTGTTGGAACACGATCCATTTATGCATACGTCTCCATACTTTCACTCATAGAGAGACCCATCCAACAATGCCTCCTTCTCCAGACTTCAGACACGTGTTGTTTTTAGCACCTTCCTGGGATGCAATCACCCCTTTGTAGAACCAGAATCCTAGAATGATTGATGGGGGTGCAGATAATGACCTTACTTAAGTCATCAACTTATTTACCCTGCGCTGTGGCAGGTGGACTTGGGTACTCTTGACTCATCCAGGATGATGTCAAGTCTCACCTTTGACGGCAGAACACATCACTGTCAGCTCATTTATCTGCTGAAACCAATACCATTATCCACATTTGTTCCTAATATTTAACGTGATTTTCCAGTTTGTACTTCTTTCCCATTATTTGAGGGCTTTGGGAGGGGGCCATCATTTTATTCTGTGTTCCAGCAGCACCTGCCAGGATGCAAACCTGACTTTCCACTTGGACTCCTGGGGTCTATTGCAATATAAGTAAGAATTACTATGTGTTGCAGTCACGGTAGTTTATTAGAATAATCCATCCCTGGCCTTCCTGTAACCTATAAATGGAGACTCTGCTTCTATGAAAGTAGGGCTTTGGAAAGCAGGACGAGGCAAGGAGACCTCTCTCTCTGTGGCTTCCACCCTTTCATACTTTTGGAACTTGTGTTTCTTGTTATTCTCCCTTCCTACCACTGAAAATGCATGGAAGTGGCTAAGATTTAGCTCCTCCATGCTTAGCATGATTTGCAGGTCAAGCCAAGCAAACAAAAATGAAAAACTTCCGAATCTAAATGCTCCCAAACATAGCCAGATTCAAAGCCCGGTTCCAAACTTTGCAGTTCTTGTGGGTCCCAAGCATTCAACAAAGCTGTTTTGCGTTATGAAAGATTGCCAAGGCATTAAAGTGTTGGAAGAATAAGAGCATGAAAACAGATTCCTGTCTGCAGGCATCAACACCAAGCTGCGTAGCCAGGAAGAGAAGTGCGTGCAGAAAAGGGGTGTCGGGAAACTGCAAGAACTTTTGTTGATGAACTGCTATGCCATGACTGTTTATGCCAGGCTTTTGCTGTTCTACTTTCTGCAGTGTTCATGAGAAAAAAAAGCCTACTTCAACTTTGAAGAACATGTAGGAGCAAATGGGAGGAGAATGGGGAAGTAAATGGATTTTAACGTAATCTAAAATTCCTGCTGGTTTTAAGCCACCATGACTTCAAATGTCTTTGAAACTTGGCAGTATAAATTCATATAGTTTTAAGGACCAAAGATACCCCTGGCATGCCTACCTGTTGGCATATGCAGCAAACGTATAGAGGGATGGAAAAGTAGAAATACAAGTGAAGGGAAAGAGAAAATGAAGAACAACTCTACAATTTCTCTTAGGTGGTCAGAGTGGTTTCAGTGTGGTAGGAGTGACAAAGTTATTTTTGTCATTCATAAGGTGGATTTGTAGAGGTACACGGCAGTACAGCCAACTTAGAAGGCAGAAAGAGGCTTTCAGTTGACACCAGTGGACTTTGGATTAGGCCTTGAAAGCTCGGTGTTAGCCTCTGTCTCCACCCCCTTTGCCTCCGTTGAACATTAAAGAAAAGAAAATACCAGCAGTGATGCATGCACCATCACCATTCACCGCTTCCCTTGGTCTCCTGTGCCAGACGTTAGTCCCCCCTCGCTGTCGGCAATCTGTGCTTTCTTTCTAACACAAACTGATCTGGCTTCAGTGTCCTCCAGTTAGGTCTTCTGGAGCTTTTCTCCGCTGGATTAAAGAGCCCTTTAATACTGGTATTTCCTCTCCAGCCAAGCATGGGATTTGCACGGGGCTTTCCGGAGTCAGTCGGGAGACTTCCAAGTAGCAACGCCTGAAAGTTCACACAGTTTGGACTCGTTTCTGGGGTCCTTTCCTGGCGGAGCAGGACCTGGCTCAGCACATCGCCCTGCTGAAAGCTGTGGTGTAAAATGACTGGTCACAAATGCAGGTGACAGAATCTGATCTGGATCTCATAAAATACAGGACATATTGACAGGTGCTGGGCAGGCCGCAAAGAGATTTGGGGTCCAGCTGGCCTGTAAGAGGCTGGAAACAAAGGTAACGTCACACCACCGTTAACTGAGTCTGTTGCAGTAAGGAGTAGAAACGTGCATTTCTTAGATCCAGGGAGCCCATGTTTGATCCCCAGAGAGGAGCTGGTCAGATGTATCACTGTGCTAACGTGCTTGTGTATGCTGTCAAAAACCTCTTGGCTGAGTGATTATTGAGCTAGAAGTCTCATGGGGGCGAGTTTTCATATGAGATTCCTGCCATTTCCCACGTCTGGTTGAACTGAAAGCACCACAAGAAATTGCCTTTCATAAGGCACGTCTCTTTCTGTTTGCTCTCTGGTCCCGGCCCCTATTCCCAAGGAGAATATAGGCTATATTACACCCTCTAATGTTTGGAACAAGCTATGAACTTACATTTTCTCTGTGCTCAAGTCCAGTCTACACATTTGCAGTGCTGGAGTAGTGCCAATTCCCTGAGCTGGTGCTGGAGGGCTTGGGGAACTTGTAAGAAATAGCTACTCACGTCCCATCAGGTTATTGCATTGTAACACTAGAGGCAGGGAGCAAAACTGCTGCTGTAACTTAAACTGCAATGTGCATGTGTTGTCCTGGGATTCTGGTTTTTGTAATGCATGTATTGGTTTGTGAACAGGGTGGGGGGTGGTATTTGGTTTGGCTCTGGCACGGCCAGGTAACACCATGATTCAAAAATAGCGTGGGCCACTCTTCTTTAAATGAAATATAGGCCCAAGTCCAGATACTTAAGCATATCCTTAGCCTAAGCATGTGAATGGGCCCTTTAAGGTAAATGGGGTTTGCACCCTGCTGGATCAGAGCTTTCATCTCCGACGGCTGAAAGAGGTGTCTGTGATAAATGGATGTGAACTGGGTGAATTAACTGCTGTCTTTAGCTTAGAGCAGGTTTTATAGTTCCCCTTGCATCATCCCAGTAGTGCCAGCGGAGCATCCTGGCCCTGCTTTCATTCACACGCCGCATTATGGAAAGGTCAGGAGTTCAGAGTCATTCCTAGAATTGTAATTTTGCAAAGTGTTTTGGAGAGCTTGACAGGCAGGTCTCCTAAAGCAAAAAACCTGGTGTGCTGCCGGCTCGGGCTCCCACTGAACCTGTGTTCTTTCACGCAGCCATGAAGGCGGATCGAAAACGCTTGAAGGCAGAGAAAACAGACCTGGTAAGCCAAATGCAGCAGCTCTACGCCACGCTGGAGAGCCGGGAGGAACAGCTACGGGACTTCATCAGGAACTACGAGCAACACAGAAAAGTAAGCCTAGCATGACTTCCTGCATAGCCAGCATGCCCTCCCTCAAGTAGGGCTGGCACCTCACACCCCAAAACGATGTTACATATGTTCTTTATGAGCTAACAGGGAGAGTAAAGCGAAGCCCGTGACTCCAGGTGTGTGCACAGACCATCCAAACCTCAAGCTTTTCTGTGTCTTGAATCCGGTGCACTCCTCTCTAGCTAAGAATCATCTCTCCTCCTGCCCAAAATAGCATCGCTGGGCAGTAGGGGACCAAGGGGGTCAGTGTTTGCAAGGAGCTCTTACCACCGGCCAGCTGAACTTTGTGGCCAGTGCCAGGAGTCTGTTTGCTGCCGCTTTAGTTGTGCTCTGAGTTAAGAATGGGATAAATATTCAGAGAGAGCAAGAAATGGGGAACACACTTCATAATGCAAACAAAGACCCAAGTCTGTATGTGTTAGGAGCCACGGAGAAGCCTAATGTCTCTAGTGGGTTTACATCAGCCTAGCCAAGCTCTGATTTGACCCATAAGGTCGTGTAAACAATCCTGTTTTAATTGCTGTACTCTGGCTTTGTATCGGCTCAGAGCTTGATGTTTTAAAGACGGCGTCAGCAGTGAATTGCAGCCAGATGCTGTCAAAACACTGCACATTCCTGGGGCCCGAACAGAGCTGCCAGGTCAAGGTGCCTGCTATAAAAGCCCTCAGGTAGAGGTGGAAAAATGCCTGCTATGACCCGGCTTCCACCCTCCCGAAACCACCAAGTGGCCACACTGCTACAGTCCTTCCTGGATGCAAGCATGAGCAGATGTGTGGGCCTGACCCAGCACCGGCTATCACGCACCCACCCTGGCCTAGCTGAGCTCAGGGAAGCTGGGAGCTCCATAGCTCCTGCACGTGGTCTGTGTGAAGGGGCCAGTCCAAAGTCCCCAGGAGCCCATGGGAACCTTTCAGTTGACGCCAGTGGACTTTGGATTAGGCCTTGAAAGCTCGGTGTTAGCCTCTGTCTCCATCCCTTTTGCCTCCATTGCATATTAAAGAAAAGGAAAATACCAGCAGTGATGCATGCACCATCATGATGACCACTCATTCAACAGTCCAGTCTCTGCATCACAGCCCGTTACTGTTGAATGCTGCCTGTAAATGTTAGCCTTGCATATTGTCTTGAAAAGGACCAAGAGTTTGATTCCACCCCCCACCCGTTGCAGTCAATGGCAAAAATGTGCGTGGTGAAGAGTCTAGTCCAAAATCTATTCACAGCCACATTATCATGATGAACAATAGTGGTGAAAAGATCTGGAGAGATTTGACTCCCTCGTTTTAAAAAAAAACCAATCCTGACCTTAGGCAAATAAAATCATGCAAAACTACCAGTAATATATCTCAAGTCACTGAAGTACGCTGCGAGGTATGAGGTGAAAAATAAAATAGGAAAAAGTCATACTAGGGATTAAATTAGTAGAGTTTGTTTCATGATCGTTGCTCCATTTCAGTGATGTTATGTCACGCTGGAAAAAAATCCATTGCAACAAGATGGTGTCTGCTCTATCCTTCTCTTTATGGGATGAAACTGTAAAGCAGGTTACTTTCAAGGACAGGTTTTATAGTTTCCCTTAAAGTTAAGAGCTTGTTAAAAGAACATATAAACTACGGTGACTAGTTTAAGTTGCCTAATAATAAATAGCATTTCTCTGAGCATGTTCAACCTCTCTGCACTTTTTGCTAGAGGATATTTTTTTAGACACCGTTTCCTGTTTTGCTTTTGATTACGCTGCATAAAGCCATCCACTCAAATAAGCAGCCGTGGGAATCCAGCTTCTGTAATTATTCTGGGCTTTTTTCCATGCAAGGAGAGAAACTTGCTATTTTTAAAGCATTGCTACAGACAAAGACCCCTTGAATCTGGTGGTGGACTTTTTGGGGAAATGATATTTTTCTGCCTCCCCAGCCTGAGAAAATCAATGCTATTAGAAGCAGCAAACAAACGCACAGGATGAACCCAGGGAGGAATATATGCTGCTAGGCAAGGGGCCCCAAGCGCTCTTTCAGTGTGGGACTATGGAAAGTCTCACTGTCTCCAGCTTCTCCACGTGCTTCCTACAGGCTCACGCAGTGCAGTCTCCGTGGGAGCCTCAGTAGCTGTTCATCTCGGGGGGGGCTGTATTTGCAGAGAGGATGCATCCTCACTTGTGTTCCATGGCAGGCAGCCTGCATATTTTAATGACTGATTTCCAGGAGCAATGCGGCATATGAAATGATCCATGCTCTGGGATACGGGTGACTCTGAGGTCATCTTCTGCATCCATGGAGAAGGATAGAAGACAAATCGTTCCTTTGAGCCTCACAAATAGTTTGCATTGACCACCCCCCCCCCAGTCACGGGATTAGAACCGCACTAATATTGTGTAACAGTGACACAGGCACCACTGGCCTTGTCTACTTTGCGGTTGGAAATTAAGCAAAAATAGACTTGATTTTTCTTGAGATGCTGGGCAGCCCCAGCTCCGGTCAATGGGAGCTGCAGCTTCTCGGTGTGTCTGGAAGAAGAAGGCTGTCTAATGTTGTCACTTGTTTGTGGCTACTTAGGGTCGTATTGTACTTCCCTAATGAGCAGGGGGAGGATCTGCTCATCTGAGTTGCTCCAGCCATACCCTAGGCTCAGCTTTAGCAGCAGTGCCCGTCCAACACAGAGTCCAGGGAAAAGTCCCTGTGTCCACCAGGCAGGGAGGCCACAGTATTCACAGTAACAGTGTTGAAAGGCTCCTCTTCATAACAAGCTTCCTCCACAGTAGAGGGAACTAGATACAGCTTTCTCTGATTCAACTAATAGCAGCTTGGAAATTATTATTGGAATTAGGGGTGCATCTAGAACAGTGGTTCTCAACCTTTCTAGTCTCAAGACAACCCTTGGAAGATGCCCTTGGCTTTACTTCATTTTTTAACTATGGAAGAATAATAGAGGAATTCTTTTGTTGCCAAGGGCTCAGGAAGACCACTACAGGCTAGACTGTTTTTGACGCTATGGATTCCTGCTTCAAACCTTTTGAGTTTGCCTTGTGAATCATGTGCAAGGGTCTGCACATCTCAGAGTGCAGCTATTTCTTGGTACCCATAAAAGGGTCTCATGGCATCCTTGGATGTTACAGGGTGCCAGTGAAGAGTCAGTGACCTAGAGGATCCAAGTAAGAGCAGAGCTTGGTTGTGCTAGGTGCTGTCACACACAGCTCTCTCAAAAAGCTCATAGCCAGCAAGGGAGGGAAAACAGATGCACAGTGGGGAGTGACTTGTCCAGGACAACAGAACAGCTTCAGTGCAGAGCCGGATGCAGATTAGCCACTGGTTGCTCTGGATAGGTTTGCAGGGCTTGGACCCCATTCTGATAATGCCCCCAAAACAGCTGAGAGCTTGGGTTGGGGGCTTGGTGGGCAGTGGAAGAGGAAGAGGTGCTAGGGCTGACGATTTAAGCCAGTGGTGTTCAACCTCCAACCCACAGGCCTGTGGCCCCTGGGGCAATGGTGTCTGACTCGTGAGAATCCCCATGGGTCCAAAAATTTGGCACTGGGGGAACAGGATTAAATTGCCAGAGCCTTAGTTAACACTTCCACCTCTCTCCCAACTGCCAAATTTTGGGACCCATGGGGAACCCTGTGGGCTGAATGACTCAGCCCCACATGCCACATCATGCCAACATGCAAAGTCAGGCCACAGACCAGCCCCACGCGCCATCCCCACTCTAGATCCAGTCCATGAACCGATCTGGCCCATAGACTGGCCTTGTGCCATTCGTCTGGTCTGCAGGGCTTGGAGGTTGAATGCCAGTGATTTAAATGGATGCGCCTTCCTTTCATCCCTTTTCCCTGTTAACTAAACCCTTTTTTTGGTCTAGCGCTGGTTTGCTGATGTCATACGCAGAGCTGCTCCGGGAGTCAAAAGATCGCTGCTCCCTGCATCGCCTGCAGGGTTTCTGCTTTTGTTGTAGGTTTTTTTTTCTGATAGGATCTTGCAGAAACTCATACAGTCACATCCAGCCACGACACCCAAAACCACTCTCAGAATGTCCCTTAAGCAGTCCTGCAAAGGGAGTAAGTTGCTGATGTTTTCCAGTTGGGCTAGACATAAAATACCCAAGTATCTGCAAAGCATGTGAGCTTGGTCTTATTTAACATAAGCCGCCACTCCTGTGTACTGATGCTTCAAGCACCAGTCTCTAGGCTATCTAGAACTTGGATGTCCACTTTGCAGAGGCAGCTTGGAAAATCTCAGCCTTGAGGCTTCATCATGTGCAGAGGGGGAGAACCGTCTATGTGGACTATGTTTTCCCTGGATCTTTTCTCCGGGTAGCCTTGAATGGGTTCTGTCCAAGCATTTCCTCTCAGGTGGATCCTTTGTCAACTGATTGGCAGAGTAAACTGAAGATGATGAGGTCCACTGGACAGAGGACCAGAGAGGGGAGTCAGCCAACCCAGGTTCAGTTTCTTGTCTCTCCTTCTGTCTGCCTCTCTCTACCTCTGCGGGCTTCATTTTCCCTTCTGTATGAAGGGATGATTGTGCTTTAGCTGCCTGTTGGTGTGGTTTTTAGACCTATGGATGTGAAAGGCCAGATAAGCTCTAAGTATTCTTGACTCCAGAAGGTCTACAAAGCCCTCTGCAACCCGGACCTAGAGAACAGACAAGGAGGGTGCTCAGATACCTTGGATGGACAGCAGTGCAGAACTATATTTAAATATATACATCAGGAGCTCTCTAAACAGTATTTGTATTGCTTTGTAGTAGAAAGACAGTATATTAAGCGGTGCTGGTAGCTGGGGAGTGTTTCCACGTGATATCAATTATCCTATCACTGTCTTTGGAAGACCAAATGCATCAGCAGTTCAGGAGAGGCCAGGGGCCTGTGACAACAGAAACATGGTGCGTCTTTAAAGCAGCTGGGCTTGCAGTCTGTCCTGCCTGGGCTTTAGATTTCATGGCACTAGGGGTTGGGATCCCGATGATATCACAAACCCCTGACTACACATTTCAGTCCAGCATTCACCTCGGCACCCGTGTTGTGGTGAAATGCTGTCACTTCACTAAGGATTCCCGAGAGAGATGGGGCTCCAGTGGGGATTTTTGCCCCATGGGCAGGGTAGGTGTCACTGAAGTGATTGGGTGGTCTCCTGGAGGGGTCTAGTCCACAATGTGGTCAAGACACAAAGATGGTAAAGACAATTTCTTTCTTACCTTTGGTTTGTTGGCAATTCAGTTGTGCTTATATCCTCATTTATAATCCCAGGGGCCAGCCTTGCATCCTAGCCTGTACATCACTGCTATGGTAGGAGAAGGTAAGGAGGAGGATGAAGAGGAACGGTGTAGAGAGCTTGCTAATGGAGACACTGGTTAATGAAATCCTGGCCCCAATTCAAGTCAATGGGAGTTTGTGCCATATATTTCATTTGAAGGGTTCAGGTTTTAGCTGCTGTATTTTATGAGGCATAAAACACTGTCATGCTTTGTATGGAATGGACTTCTTGGGAAAGAGAGTTTCATCCCTTCCTCACGTTGCCCTTGTGTCTTTGCAGGAGAGTGAGGACGCAGTGAAAGCACTCGCGAAAGAAAAAGATCTCCTGGAGCGGGAGAAGTGGGAGCTACGCCGGCAAGCCAAAGAGGCAACGGACCATGCCAGTGCGCTCCGCTCCCAGCTGGACCTGAAAGACAACCGAATGAAGGAACTGGAAGCCGAGTTAGCCATGGTGAGAGCCCCCTGCCTTTAACTGAAGCTTTTTGGCTAGATAGGAGTAGTCAGAAACCTCAACTAGTCCAGAGGGAGCTTGCGTGGTCGCACCTGGGACCTTTATCACCCCAGGTGATGTTTGGCATCACCACCTTGTTACTGTCCGCTTAGTCCATGTCCTGCCAAACCGTGACTTCAGAAGACGTGTTTTAAAGGGACACGATCTAGAAACAAGACCCCCAATCCAGCCAAGCATGCCCAGAGCTCAGGTGTGCTGGAGGTCTGAATCCAGACCTGGATTGTGTGGCTGCCGTGCACTTGAAAGTGGGAGAGGAGTGTGTTTGAAATCCATTTCCAAACCCGGAGGCTTAGGCCTGGTTGTAGTTTGAAATGCTGCGCTCACCCTGAATGGAAGGCCTGAAAACCTCATGCTCTGGTGAAACGCAGGTGGTTCAAAGGTCTGGCCCACAGTCTGAACAGGGAGAGGGGCTGTCCCCACAGAAGCATGCTTGAGCTCAGTCCGAGAGTCCCCGCAGACATGCCAGGGCCCACTGTGAAGTTGTGCCAAGTGTGAAAGCAGAGGAGAGGACATCCCTGGAAAGCTGTCATGCCCTAGCAGAGAGGTTCAGTTGAGTGAGACAGATGCATCCATGTTGGCCCCACCAGTCAGTGGAGCCATCCCAGGGATGAATCTAGCCTCTGGTGTTTCAGCTCAAAATGTTTGCCGTCTTCATATCATGCCAGCTTGCAATATGAACTCAGGGTTTCCCAGGGGCTGAACTTACCTGACACATGGTACATGACTAGATTATGGAATCGCGGTTGCTGTCTTCATGGTAGCGTAGCTGCAGGGATGAGAAATGCCCTCAGTTTCAGGGGATCGAGATAGCAACCAAAGATAGGATTCCCATAAATAGACCCCCCCTTTGCCGTCAAATCTCTGCCTTTTCAAAAGCAAAACCAAAGAATTCTTCCGAGTCCTTTTGCTTTTCTGACTGTGCCAACCAGCGTGGTGCTAAAGGCACAAGCGATGATGGGACTGAAGGCAGAAGGCAAGCATCATTTAACTTAGGGATGCTGCTCAGTTGTGAGGCTGTGGATGCTCACCTGTATGCTTCCTTGAGTGCTGTCTGTCCAGTGAACTACGTGGACGAGGCGGAGTGCTGAATGCACCTCCGCAGAAACGTGACATAGGGTTTCCTTTCATGAAATAACGGCATTGAAATGCAACGACATCAATGCCGCCCATATCTCCAAGCGCACGTGCCCGCACGTCCCCCTCCATAACGCCGCTCAGGTACACCTGAGTATTCTTCAGCATAAGCAGCCTGTCAGCAGCCTCCTGTGTTTTCATTGTTCAAAGCAAAATTCCTGCCATAAAACAAAAATGACAGCTGGACTGAAGTCATTTTTCCCCCCTCAGCTTAGAAACATTTGCTGTTATTAAATAGATATATCACAATCTGTTGTGCGTGGATTCACCTTGGGCCCTGCGATTTCAGTATACGCAATCCCTGTTTGACTGCGACACCTAGTGTTCAAAGTCTGGGTCCGCTTCAGGGGTCTCCGCAGCCTCAACCCTTAGTTGTTCAGCTAGAAGGAATGTGCTTTTTATCACCCAGCTAAGGAGAACGGGCTTCAAGAATGACACAAACTCTCCGGAAATGCATTTTAACCATTTTTATATCTTTCATTGGTCTGACTGTAGAGTGAGTAGTACCTTTCTTTACTCAGCGGAAAGCAAGGGGAGTATCTGAAGCAAAAGGTGCTTCACTAGAGGAATAAAGGAGGCCCAAGTCATTTCCATTTAGGCAATAAGGGTAGAGATTTCATAGCCTAGTTGCATGGTGGTCTGCGGCGGAGGAGGACTTGACTCTGTGACCTGAGTGCCCCTTTCTAGCCTTGTGGTCTACGTTTCCTTCGCACATTCTTCAAGACTAACCTACAGCACAGTGATCTTAACCGGTGAGTTCACAGCAACCGGCATCTATTGCAAGTATTTTTGTAAAGAACTTTACAACCTTTGTAGCACGGTCAGCCAAGGATCCCCCTCAAATAACTAACTTCGTTTTATAGGCGTGGTGGGGTTTTTTCCACCTATTTCCCAGGGATGAGAATCTGATGCACATGGCTTGAAAGAGCCTCTGCTTTTAAGCTTCTTGTCTTTTCAGTTAATCATTAAAATCACTATGGGTTCAGATCTTTGGCTGGTATAAATACCCCAACTTCTGTGTATTTAGTGGAGCCAACCTAACTGGCACCAGTGCAGAACCTGGCCTGCAATGCCGCAACCTGGCTCCTGCATTAGTTGCAGCGCATCCACAGTTTGCCCATCTGACTGCAAGCCGTCAGCCTTCAGCTTGACCCGAGGATGGAACTGCTAAAGGCTTACTTTCTGGTCTTTGCCTCTAGCATCTCTAGGGGGCTCATTTAAACATTTAAAGTTTGCAAGGTACCCCTCAGAAAATGCCACCTCTTGGTTTTCACTCATTTTGTGACCACAGAAAAATAGCAAGAGGTCTGGGTTTATCTTGCGAATCGTGTTTTCACACCTAACCCTGCTAACATAGTGTGGCACCCTTGAAAGGACCTCAGGGCACCCCAGGGTGCTGTGAGGATCACTGATGTGAACTGTCATTGCAGTGAAATATTCACTGTTCAGATATTTACCCTGTGTCACAGGTTCCGATATTTAACCTGTGATATTTAACCCTTAAAAAAGACCTGGTGTGATGCAGTGAGGTGAGAGGGGGACAGAATCAGGGCACAGGTTAGGCAAGGGCAGTCCTGCCAGGCAATCGGCCAGCAGGAGAGAAGCGAAGAGCTCCGCTGGGCTTTTAGAGCCCCAGGCGAGCTTGCAGGGCTGCAAGTCCAAGAAAACTAACTGGTAGATGGAGCCCACTTGAGGCAGAAATGACCTGGACACAATTAACTGGCAGCTTCATAGTAATGTTTATTTTAGGCAGAAGAAAAGTGCCTGGAAATGCTTTGAAAGGGCTATTTATTGACTCTTTGCTTATAGGAAGAATAATGTTAAAAAAGCTTATGGGTTGAGATCTCATCTATGTGGCCAAGCTACAGTCTGGAGGGACTTTTTATAAGTAACTCATAAACCCTTGAAAATCAGGATGCTTAATGGCAATGCTGACCAACTCTTAACTCTGGAGTTGCACGGCTGTATCACCGCTGATGCATTGTGCATGTTTTCTGAGGCTGTGGACAGATATAACTTTGCTTTAAATGGGGAGTGGCATTTACCACTGGAGGGAGCACGCGTGCGCTGCTCTAATTAAGTTGAATGCACGTGAGCGAAATTGCTGTAATGAAACAGTGAATGAAGCAGCATTAGTTGAAAGACTTTTGCTCCACTTAGACCAGTAGAGGGAAAAACAGACATGCCAGTTACTGGATAGGAACGGTTCCAAGATAGGATTCAGCCCGTGCAAAGTTAGGGCTGTCCACAGAGAGTCGGAGATTGCCAAATGAATGCATGCTTTGTTTGGGCACATTATGCTGTGATTGCGTACAGCTCACAGCCAGGTGCATCTGCATGAGCAGTTGCTCTGTGGAGATGGTAGCATGCAAGACTGAGTGACTTGTGCCTTTACCTTTGGTCTGGGTGGCAAGTTTTGCCCCATTTTCACTGCAGTGATGCCAGCATCACTTGGGACTCTTTTCGTTAGCGTTACGCTGAGTTTGCTAGAGCAGATTAGACATAAGTTCCTGCAGACTGGCCAGGGGATGGGGTAACTGAGTGCATGAGAGTCCTGCTTGGCTTTTAATTGTTGTTTTTCACATGATCTCTTCCCTGCCTGCACGAGACAGGGTGTTGAGGGAGCTAGCTGGAGTTATTGCAGGGCCCTTGGCACGGCTTTATGAGCGCTCGTGGTGCTCGGGCCAGGTGCCAGATGATTGGAAGATAGCTAAC